GGGCAATGCGACTAAAACAGTAATTGAAATTCAGGACACTATTTTTTAAAACGCGTTGCTTGAATAAAACTAACCAGACACATTCAATTTACCAGACTATTGAACAACTAGGAAAAGTGAAAAAAATACTTCTTATCGCCAGCATAAATGCATAATTTTTTTTTTTTTACAGAAAAAGTAATTTTTCACCTTTGATTGAGTAACGCGTCATAGAATGCAGATACGGGCATGCAAAATACACTTGTGAAAAGCTTGAAGTCTGGCGATTCTAAAAATATATACTTTCCCGGGTCTATTTGTAGTCATTTAGTCACAATTAGAAGATGAAAACAAGTATGCAAATAATAGTCCCGCTACCTTAATTTGGGTGAAGCTGAGTGGCCCGAATTTAAATATCAGTGCGTGAACTCATTGAGGTCATTGCCCAATGCCGCACGTAATTCAAACACATGGTTAGTAGAGTTCAGTCCAAATATACGCGAATAATGCGATCGAAGTGCGCTGCCCAGAGTTTATTATATTATAGTAAAATTTAATATGACCCACGGTATGGTTTATATTACATATACACTTCATTTCGAATAAAATAATTCACCATTGGGAACATCGATGATTCACAAGACACCTGACTACTATAATTTAAATGCGCCCATGTTTATGTTGGCATAATTATTACGAGTGCAACGCATTATAAAGTCGGTAATATAAATTACTTGAGTTTGTGTAATTATTATGAAATAATTACAAAGTTGAAATATTCAGAGCCGGTACAATATTGTAAACAAATTTGCATTATTAGAAAAGCAGCGCACCAAGTAAACGATGTTGATATATTCAAAGCCAGAGTTGCAGACAAGTTATGTGATTACAGTATCGTCGGATATAATAACAATTTTACTAGACCGACGCGCAGAGCATGAAAGAAAACGGTTGCTACGGTAACGCACCAGTTCAGCGTGTGACTTGGGGTCAATCTTCGATCAACACACACTCGATGTCAGCAGTATCGCCGCACAGCAACAGTTTGTAAAGAAGTACTTGAAGTTCAATTGCGCCCAAAATTATTTAGCTGATTACTCAGTTGTCGCAGAGTGTGTTGTGTCATGTCCATGATGCATTCCGTTTCGACTTTGGCTTACTTTTTCTTCTTGTTCACGTAATGCGATCTCTCACCAATGTATTAAAACACTTTGAATTTATACTTTGCATGATTATATTTGGTCAACGCGAAACATTTTTTTTTTCTGAACGTTTTCTAGACCATTTT